AGAGAGTCAGGTCTTCTGTGAACGCTCCCTCTGTTTTGGCTGCTCTCTCTGACCCATCAGCAGGGTGGAGATGTGTACTGCCAGGCAGAGGTTGATGTGGAAGTTCCCTCCAATGCCTCTGTGGTCACCTGAGTGTGATGGGCACCTCCCGCCCTTGCTGGGTGGCTGTCGAAGTTCTAGCTCCCATGTAGTCTCGCTGGGCCTTCTGTGATGCTGTCTGTCGTGGTTTATGTGCAGATAGACCCTGAAGCCTCATGTCATCGTAGTGAGGCACCTCGCTTATAGGAGGTGGGGCTGGTGGGAAGGGCTGGGCTGCGGTAGGTGTAACTGGGGAGTTATATCTCCTCCTGTGCTCCTCCCTTGGCTGTTTTTGCTTCTTGGCTGCCATGCCGTGAGCAGCTCTTCTCCTCCAGGCCCCTGTGCTACGCTGCCTGTAGGCTGACATTTGAGCCAAAGTAAACCTGTCCTCCGTACGTTGTGGGTGTCAGTACTGTGTGTCGTCCACTGGGAAGGTGACTGAGATGCCATCACTGTCCTGTAGGGAGTGTGCTGTGTCCTGGCACTCAGGAGTTGGGGCCCGGCTCCCTCTATGTTTCCACCACACCGTGGGGATAGAGCGAGGCTTCTCCTGGCCCGCAGTCCCGGCTTCCTCCTTATCCCTCGCCAACAGCCCGCACAAGGGCTTTGGAGCACTGTTCCGCCTGTCTGGAGTGGCTGTGTGGGCATCTCCTGCCCTGGCTGGCGTGGGTGAGGGGACCACAGGGTTTTCGGGAGCCTGTGGCGAGAGTGGAGTAGCTCTTGTTCAGACGATCTATGTCTGTTCCAGGGGAACGGACTTGGCCGGGCAGTGTCTGGCCTGGCCTGTGGCCTTTCTGTCATCAGCTCCAGCTCTGCGTCTGGATTGTCATGGGACCTTGGCACGGGCCCTCCTCGGAGCCCATGGCCCCCAGCTGGTCTGTGCTGTCCCCTCTGGAGCTGACATGCCTTTGTGACGTGGGGGGAGGTGTCCCTGGCCGGAGGGACAGGAAGAGCCGCTGTCCTCTCTCAGGGCAGAGGTCGTCCTGCCCAGGTCTGTGCGAGCAGGTGCTGCAGTGCCTGCGGTGATTGTGACGGACTTAAAGCCAGCGCTCTGCGTGTAGCGATGGTGCCAGTGTGAGCGACTTTACCGTAGTGCAGTGACTTGTTCATGGCTGGATCTGAGTAAAAAGCCCTCTTTCCAATTTCTCTAAACTGCTTTTAAGATCTTTAGTATCACTTAAAGTTTAAGCACGTGAGGATGTTTTTAAAAGCATAATCAAGTGGGAAATCCTTGCCTCACTCTCAGTAAGTTAAGAGTCCAGGCACAAAAAAGGAACAGCAGGGCTTCGCCAGGTGATCAGGCTCAACACCTTCTTACATCCCCCTTTCTTGGTGCATGTGCATGCAGAATGAAGCATAAAGTGAAAGGGCAGGGACTCTGAGGGACTCATGAGCGGCACAGCCCAGAGAAAGCCCAGTGGTGTGAGGGCCCCAGGTATGTGGCTGGGACTCCAGCAGTGGCCACCACAGGTACAGCTGGTGGCACCCGGCTGCTGACCGAAGAGAAGTTTAAGTGGCTCACCAGCATTCTCTGCCTTCAGAGTCAATCCGCTTACTAAAGGTGTATTCAAACCATGTAATTAGGGAACCAGACCGGTGGTTTCCTGAGTGTGCACAGTGGAGCAGGAGGGGCTCATGGCTGCGGCGACCCGGAAGGCAGGGGCGGCGGGGTAGGGAGGGTCGGTGTTGTGCTCCTTGTGTAGACTGCTGCGTGTGCTGGTTGGAGTTAACCCTAAGTTGAATATGACAGAAATCTAGAGTGAGAGATAGATTCAAGGCAGAGGAAAGGCATGTAAGCTCTGGAAGATGGGCTCTTCTTCATGTATCAAATGGTTCCCCTTTCTTAGGTTAATTTTATTAATTTAGATGGCTAGCAGTAAATTCTAGTTGATTTTTCTTCTTTTAAACCTAAAGAAAAAAACCTCAACGTTGACAGATGTCTGTTATGTGTTCATTTGCTTATTTATACGTGCCGCGTGCCCGTTTGGCAGTGATGGTGGAGACATAGAAGGTGGTGACACCTGGCCACCAGGCGGCACAGTCCATGGAGCGAGTGGCCCGGGAACCCGTGCTGGCACTGCTGATGGTGAGGGCCTAGTAGAGGCCCGCTGGTTCAGCACATCCAGGCCTGCTGAAGGAGGAGCCCGGCGAGGTTCTCGAGGATGTGGAGCTGACACCCGGGGAGGCGGCTGGCAGAGGGAGGCTGCGTGTGGTTAAATCTCAAACGTGTCCCAGCCTCTCCTGTGGGGAGGTGATTGGACCGTGGAGCGCTGTGCCCTGTCTTCCCCTTGTGTGCGTACTGCGGTTTGTATTTCTCCTCTGGCACTTGAGTTCCTGGAGAAAGCTTGTGTGGGGTCTCTGTGTGTGCTGTCCTGGCTGCCTCGATGTCCTCAGTCAGTGAAAGACGTGTGCCTTTCTTGGTCACTTGGACTTCAGGGAAGAGCCAGAAGTCGCATGAGGGTGAAGCCCCAGCGTTGTGTTGTTAGGAGCCTTTCTGTGGATGGCGCCGGGAGGCAGTGTTTGCCTGTTGTTTTGTCACACCTCGTACAGACCCTCAGGAAAGAGGACTTCCGGAACCGCTTCACAAAGTGGCAGGAAAGGTGGGATACGTGTGTTCGACTGGACGGGGAGGTTTGGAGGGTGGTCCTGGTGATGTGTCTTCTGCTATGTATCTGAAGCTTCAGATACTAACTGCATTTCAGTCACCTCTGTCACTGGGTGCTTTTCTCTGGAGGTGATTCCCAGGCCTGCGGTGGGTGCCGTGTTGCTCAGATAGACCTGTGTTCTCACCTGCCGTTTGTGACTGGCCCCTGCTCCGGCCTCTGCTGCACGGCTGTCATGTATATGGATGGGGCCTGTGCCTGAGATCCTCTGATGTGAACTGTCCCGTGATTTGGGGTGCCGTGGAGGAGGTCCGGTTGGCCGTTCTGAGAGAGACGCTTCATCGCCATTTAGCCTTTCAGAAACACCTCTTGACAGCGGTGAGGCATGTGACCTCTGAGAATGTCAGGTTAGGAATTGGACTAAAATCTAGTTGGACAAAACTCCAGGAGGCTGTTCCTGGTGTGTGCAGAATTCTAGACAGAATTTTGCTTCAAGGAGAGTGATTTGAACTCACCATATGTTACTGTAGTTAAGCCTAGGAGAGTGCAGGGAGGGGATCTTATAACCTGAAGCCGTTGTGAGCACATGCTTGTACGTGGTCGCAGAAGGATGGACCTGACAATCTTGTACCGCTTTCTGAAAAGCCTTGGGTAACTGGCATGTCTGGTTTTTCTCTACCACATTTAATGGGTTTCTAAATCCTTATCTGCTTTTCAGACATAACTGTAATTAGAGCAGTGATTGAGGAGGGCACCCTGGGCTTCGGGAAGGTCACCCTGCTCTAACATCGCTGCGGACTGAAGCCCAGGAGGGAAGGGAGTCGGCAGGAGAGGAAAGCAGCGAGAGCTGTGCAGCGTGTTTGAAGTGAGAAGGGTGTTTTTATGGCAGGATTTGGGGAAGCTAAAAAACGGTGGGAGTGTAACAAAACAGAAACGAGTGACGTTTTCACCAAGACAAATGGTAAAGTCCTGCAGTCTCCAGTCACTCCCTGTGGTGGAAGGGAGGGAAGGGACCCCTTCCTGGTGGGTGTGGCCGTGTGTCTGGGTCTTCTGCATCTGTCCGACCTGCAGCCGTCTGTGCTGTTCAGGCTGGGAACTCGTGGAGACCTGATTGCCGGCCAGCTGCTGTGGGTTTCTGTGTTTTTTTGTTAATTTGGGTTTGAGAAGTAGAGACAGACATAAAAAGCTCAGTTTCTCAGCCATGAAGCTTTCTTTTATACTTGTAGCCTGTTACACAGAATAGCGTGTGTTCTGTTGTTGCTTCTTCTTCTTTTTTTTTTTGGTTTTTTGAGACAGGGTCTCACTATGTAGTTGAGACTGACCTGAAACTCCCTATGTAGCCCAGGCTGGTCTCGAACTCACAGTGATCCTCCTGCCTCAGCTCCTAAGTGCTTAGGATTACAGGCGTGAGCCGCCATACCTGGCCTTTTTTTTTTAACTTTTTCATTGAGTTTATTGGTACATTTTAGATATACAGTACAGTTACATTCCTTATTGGGATCTTGTACCTTTACATGACAGGTCTTGGTTCTCATTTTTTCCCCTTGTCCCTGCCCTACCTTCACCCCCTCCTCCCTTCCCTGTTTACAAACACTTTTATTTCCATTTTTTCATTTTCTCATATTTTTTTCTTTTCCCTTATTACCTTTCCCCTACCCTTTACACACACACTTTTATTTCCATTTTTTCATTTTCTCATATTTTTTTCTTTTCCCTTATTACCTTTCCCCTACCCTTCCCACTTCTTTACTGTAAGACATCGAAGTTGACCTTTTAACCCAGATCATAGGATCACCCTGTTTAGAGGAAAAACCATAAAAATCAAAGTTCAAAAGGTGACTTTAGCTTGGCCCTGGGGATGATTTCAGGGCTTTCTTAAGTTTTTTTTCATTTTCTCATATTTTTTTCTTTTCCCTTATTACCTTTCCCCTACCCTTCCCACTTCTTTACTGTAAGACATCGAAGTTGACCTTTTAACCCAGATCATAGGATCACCCTGTTTAGAGGAAAAACCATAAAAATCAAAGTTCAAAAGGTGACTTTAGCTTGGCCCTGGGGATGATTTCAGGGCTTTCTTAAGTTTTGTGTAGTGAACAAGGACGGGCTCTGCAGAGGAGCCGGATTGGGAAGGTTTCCAGACAGTTTCAGCTCGGATGGTTGTAGTCTCCCTTTGTTGTTAATGCTCCCGCCCTCCTAGATTATTGGAGGAGGGACGCCTGTACTTGTGTCGGTGTACAGAGGAGACGCGCTTTCCTAGCATCTCTCTGCCCTTTGCTGCCATGGGTCCGGCAGCGCTTCCTCCCCTTCTGTTCCCATCAGAGACCCCGGGGGCCTTGCTCCCTCGAGGGCACACGTGTGCACACGCACCTGTCAGGAGTGAGCACAGCCAGTGGCGTGCAGCCCTCACAGCAGTGCGGGTGGGCAAGAAGGTGCGAGCAGAGGCGAGCGCTCTCCCGCTGTCACCGCGCCGCCCTCTGAACCTGCTGATACAGGGTCTAGTCAGAGTCCCAGCCAGTAAACTTCTTGTGAAACTGAACCGGAGGAGCCAACAATCGATTAGGAAAATCAAAGGTCCCGAAGTGGGCAAGACAGAGTGAGGTCAGGGCCCGGGCACCGGGGTGTTGACCGACCGCAAGCTTCGAGGACGGGGATTGTGTGTGCTGACGCCCAGGCAGACGGAAGCCAGGGGCCGGGTGACCGTGGGGAGCGACTGGGGCAGCAGGGACGGTGGGAAGCTCTCCGAACCAGTCTCTGTCTCGTTTCACCTGCGTTCGCGTCAGTTAAATTTGGAAAGCAAATCTGGAAATGGTACTAGAAGATGCAAGAAAGAATGAAACAGAGGCATGTCTTCATGAGCGTCTTAGAAAGGTCACACTTGGCTGCCAGCGCGGGGTGCGGGTTTAATGGAGCGCCACTCCTGTGAAGCACTGTGCGCGGCGGTGTCTGGGCTGTGAAGTGTGGGTGCCCGTGGTCACGATGCACATCAGATTCTAGGTGCTGTTTCCTGTGACACTGATGGAGGGCTGTGGGCTCCCTGCGGCTGCATTAGGAATGTGTATTATTTTAAAATAAAAACGCTTTAGAGTGACACCTGACACGCTTACCTCCGCGTGAATATTGCACAGTAAGGAAATGGTTGAATAAATTCTGGCAGTTACGTGCCATGAAATATTTCCTAGTTATTCAAAAGAGTGATTTGTATCTACTTGGCTTCGCATGCAGAGAGTATGGAGAGTTATTACATAGTGAAGAAAGCAAGGTGTGGAAGAGGAATGAATCACCCCAGTTCACAGTGGGTGTGGTGAGTGCTCGTGTCTGACCATAGGAACAGGAAAATGTGAAGGCCGTGGCACAGGCCGTTCAGAGGGTGAGAGGGGCAGGACGTCATGGTGCTGTGATTCACGTCTGTCGCACCTGGACTCTGACTTTATTTCTAAAGGCCCAGGACCACTTCACCTGAAGAGTGAAGGTTGGTCAGGGAAGATGCCTGTGTTTGCCTGGAGGCTGTGCTTACTCTGAGAAGCGAACCTGATGGAGAACAGTAGCTCGTGTGTCTAAGTACATGATGGGAACGAGTTGAAACGCCTTTCAGTCCCTCTCCCTTCTCATTTATTAATACAGTTGATCCTGATTGTAGCGAGTTCTTTTTGATGATATTTGTAAAGCGCTCACAATGTGCTAAGTGGCATAAAACAAAAGTAGGCAACCATGGTAAGGGCAGAGGAGGTAGCTCGGTGGCAGAACGCATGCCCACCAGTGTGAGGCCTGGGTTCAGTTCCCCGTACCGCACACACACAAGGAATAACTTGGGTATCTCACGAAATGGGGTGCTTTGCTAGGGAATCTTCAGACCCCGTTCTCTCCTTTTCTGTCTTGGATATGAGAGAGAAGTAGCAGTGGATCTTTTTTGGAGGGCAGGCCAGGATTTAATGTGGATCATTTTTGACATCCTTATTTTTTCCTTGTAGTGTGCGGGATGACAGAATTCGAGTGGAGAGGATGGATGATGTTTATTTTGAATATAGCCACGCTTTCCAGGCGGTCACGGAGTTCTATGCAAAGAATCCAGTCGACAGCAGAGGTGAATATTTTACACTTTAGCTGGATGTCCTTGGGTGGGCTGATCTGAGGTTTGAATAAAGGTGTGTGACTTTCACTCTAATGACAGCTAGGTTGTGATCAGAAGTCAGTGGGCACAGCCAGGAAGGAATATCTGCTGTGTCTTCCTTTCTCCTTGGGACCTCTGGGTGCGTGTCGATCAGAGTATAAGGAGTTACTGACCACAGTTTCTCCTTGCTTATCTTTTAAGATGGCCCATTAGTATCCCTGCATTTTAACAGAATGTTTGGATAAATACTTAGCTGGAGACTAGCATCTTGAATGGCTGGGTGCCAGAATTAAAATGGCAGGGCATTAGTGACAGGCTCTGAACATGTTAAAGAGCTGTTTTTGGTTTCATTCATTCATGTTTCTGCATCAGGCAATGGGAGCTTGATTTTGTTGGCACCCTGTCTTCCTGCCAGTCCAGCTTGTATTAGGGCCTGTTTTATAGATTCAAGGTGAATACATTTTCCCTTTGGCATAGATTTAACTTAGCTCCTCCCCAGTGCTCCTCAAACCCCTCACAGAGATATTCTGTCCTTGCCACAGGCTGCGGAGCCTGACTCCTCACCCTCCGCTGCGACGTCCCCATCTCTCTAGTTTTTCCCTCCACCTCTGAAGTGGTACCTGCTTGGCTTGGCTTGTGCCTGGGACACAGAGTGCTGGGCCAAAGAGAATCAGGTGTCCAAACTGTATCCCATTTGGGACCCCAGGATGCAGTCCATTTTGGGGTCGTCGCAGGCTCCACTGCAGACAAGCTTGCTGTCTTCCTTTCTGAGTGTCAGGTCACTTGAAGGACACAGATGCAGCACAGCCATCTGTGAGGAGGGAACCTTACGGCAGTATCTCAGGTCCTTGGAAGCTTGAGGTCCCTGTTCTCTTGTTGCAGAATTTAAGGGATAGGAGAAAACATGGATGAAACAGGAGGATTTTATTCCAGGATTTTAGGTATCCACAAGCTGATCCCCGAACAAGGGAAAAACTCCAGTTTTTATACATATGGTCAAAGGGGGATGGTGTGAAACTGGTGGGTAGGCAAACGAGGTTACAAAGCATGACAAAGGCAATTAGTCATACATACAGTGACAGCTTTATATCTTAGCCTTGAAAGAAGACTGGATTCTGTGAGAATAGGATGTCTCAGGACCTTGTTTACAGGAACAGAGTTGTTAATCTTATCTGTACCAGGCAGAGGAAGGCAGCCACAGGGAAGGAAGGGGGTAAAACTTACTTCTTGTAAGTTCTACACTACCTGGGTAACAGCTCATATGTGCAGAAAGGAGACTTCCATCCAGGTGAGTGTAGGGCCCACCATGACCAGCCTCGGGCCATGTCTCTTCTGGAGCCTCTGAAAGGACATGTGCTGGGGACCCCTACAGAGGATCCTGATCTTCTTCCTGTTTGGTGCTATAACACAGATGAGAAGAAAGACTTAGAGACAGAATCAAAGTAAAAGAGGGAGCTGGGATGGTCAGTGCCGAGTCAGCAGCAAGGACCCGGAACCAGCCAGAATGCTGATATTTATCGGTGATACGATCATTATTAGGTTGAGTCAGGGGATAGTGTGGTTGCTAGAGATGAGTTGCTGATGCAAGCGAGGTTTGTTAGAAAAGGGACAAAGCATTCTTGTGTTAGGAACAGAACAGAGTGGATACAGGATTTGGTTAATAATTAACCTGTCCTTACAGTTAAGAATTTGGGTAAGAGTCACTCTGACCGTGGCTGTGTATCATGCCAGAGCCTCACATCTTCACAGGTCATTTCTCTGGGCTCTGCTGTGGCTGTGGGCCGGGCAGTGGTGGTGGCCGCGGTGTGTGGAAATAGTTTTTAATCCTCGCACCACCACAGTGCTCCTCTGAGTCAGGTAGGCTTTGATCAGATTCACTTTTTAGAACAAGCCGATCATGTGGTTAACTCTTTACAGCCTGCTGTGAGCATGACCAACAGGGTGATTTTCTGCAGATGCACAGGATGCAGGGTCCATGCTCAGGAGGCCAACATGCTGGTGTCGCCTTTGTCAGTCTTCCCAGGCTGAACAGGCGCTCACTCTTGGTCATTGCTGCTTTGGGACACATGGGCTGTTGTCCAGCTACAAAGTTAAAATAAAATAACTGCTCTGGAGAAGGTGAAGGGGGTGTTAGCTCTTTGTTTACACCCCGATTTTATGAACATCTATAATTAAAGAGGTATCTTATATTGCTGGTTTATACTTACTTTCTAAAAGTAATAAACGCTAAAGCAAAAGCATTAACTCTGCAGTGGTGTAGAAAGAAGCAACAAGCCTCTGCCCTCTGGCCCTGCCCTGCCTGTGCCCCGGGTGGTTGAATACTTTGACTCAAGTCCCTGAGGGTGGTTTTAGGGACAAACGCACATGTACCCACTGGAATGTTCCTGGTTAGTGTGTTGGACGGTGATGAATGCTGAAGAGAAAATAAGGCAGGAAGGGCTGCACTTTGGACGGGATGCTGAGGAGGCCAGATCTGTGCACATGGTGAGGGGCGGCCTCTGGCCAGGTGGAGGAAGCATGGGGGCCTTCGGGTGGGGCGTGGCTGGCACGTGTGGGGACAGAGGGGTGCACTGGGGTGTTCAACAGGAGTAGGAGCTGGGACCCTGTCCGTGGTACTAAGGTTCGGCCTTCTGCTCTCACTGGGGTGGGGTGGGCGGTCTGGGGACTGAGTGCCGGTTCAGCAAGAGGTCCTGTGGTATTGGCCTGGTCCCTGGGATGGGCTGGGACCACTACAAATGCCAGTCCCTGTGCCTGGCTGGCCGTACAGCTTGAGCGCTGCAGTCCCAGTCTTCCCTTTCGGTGGTGCACACAGTCTGGGTTTACCAGAGTGTAGTGACTGTTACCCTGTGGGGGTTCTTTAGATCATCTCTGGTTTGTTTATGTTTGCAAAAGACTTTTCAGTTCACCTTGTATATATGTCATTGAGGTGCAGTTTGGAGTATTTCTGGTCAGAGGTGAGCAA